TCCTGTCCCGAAATTCAGGTCAGCAGTCTCGTACGACTTTTTTTCACGTCCATCGGCCCAAATTATTCAGAAAACGAAGAAAAGTTTCACCTAGTGCATTAACTCCACAAAAGCCTAGGTTAGCGCAACTCTTGGCGGCAGATGGAGGAGGAAATCGTTATGGAAACGGTTCGAAGGTAACGAATCTGTGCCCTCGAATTAGCGGAAACCAACAACTCAAACTTGACGCTTGCAGGGTATACACTGATTTTGCACGCCCTCTCATTCAGCACCCACACCGCCCCTGAAACAGAACACATGGGCCAAATTTAAATTCCTCGGACGCAGCGGTGCGCACAATGCGGAATACTGAAGGACGCAGGAGGTATCGCAGTTATCCCCACATCTCCGAATTCGGGGCTGGGAAATTACAATTCTGACCCGGTGGACATTTGAGGTAACTCGCATCCACGATCTAAAGGGGAACGGGGCTAGAGAAAGACTGAGGATCCTACCTGTGATGGCTCCGGGCTCCAACCTGACGATTTTATTCCAAGCGAGATTCACCACCTTCAAGGTCTCGCTGCGGAAATTGAGTAACCCGCTCGGAAGGCTCGGTCCCAGGTTGCAGTCCGCGCAAGAGAACTCCTCCAGTCTCTCCAATCCCTTGATGACATCCGATGGGAACTCCGAGAAAGGGTTCCCATCTGTATGAAACACGTGGGAGAGAATCACGAGATGAAGAAGAGATCGTGTTTCGACTGAAGCTATGCCACAGTATACGAGAAATACCTCGAAGTTATTCCGCCACTATCACAATCGGGATAGGTAAAAAGGCTAGAAATAATATATCAACCATTATATTCAAAGGGTGTACGAGATAATTTCTGATTACACAATATATTCCGACTTTCCGGGGAAATTTGAACTGCTGAGAACTCTTCCGGCCTTGCTTTTGCCAAGCACCTGCAGCAGGAAAGGTAAGGTCTGATTGCTATTGAATGAAAAAAAAAATATTTAAAATGATATGGACAACAGAGTTTGTTTTCTGAATGATTTCGCCGTTAAGCACATGGTGCCTGACTTGTGGTTACCACTGCGGCCAAGAACGCAACCCTTCAGTCCAGAGGTCGGGAACCTATGGCTCATAAGTCATAGGTTCCCGACTCACGAGCCGAAAGGTTTTGCTCATTAATTCTTGGCTGAAAGTCATGGTTGTTCCTCGTTTTTCTCATGTATCAAAGAACGCATGTCTGTTGCCAACTTCTGGAGAAATTATGTCCTGAAAATCTACCGCTCACAAGCACTTTGCTCAATCTTGTTATGGCTCACGAGGTAAAAAATGTTCCCTACCCCTGCCTTAATGGTTTCAGAGATGGAGACGAAGTTAAAAAATCTCGAGACTACGCATTGAAATGGGAATATTCGCATATCGCACGAGATGTTGAATGGTTACCTAAAATGAGTTTCTTCAATTTAGGAGTCGCCCATCCGTCTTTCTCAAACCTCAAAATTTTATTCCACATTAAGTAGAGTTCCTCGAGGCTTCCGCTCTGAAGGGGCGGGACGGACGCGAAGCGATTGAGCGGGAGGATCAGAGCCTTGAGGCTGGTCAGCTGGGGGAGGATGTAGAAAGGAAAACTCTCCATGCGACTGGAGAAGATTTCCAGCATGAATAGCGTCTCTGCGGAAGCGAGGAGGGCCGACGGATGGATCGTCCTAAGGGCGCTGTTGCGGATGTTGATCCTCTCGAAGGAGACGCTTGCGAATGCATCTTCTTGGATCTCTTCCACGTTGGGGTTCTTGTCCATCTTGAATTTCCTGCGAGGATAAATAAAAGAAATCAAGAATTTTCTCCAGATGCACTTACGTAAAAATGTTTAACCTCATGACTTAGGAATTATGTTCGAATGATGGTCGAACTTGATCATGACCACCCCCTTTTAGAACAAGTCCTGTCTTACAGTGAAGAAGAATGCCTGGTCCCGGCCAAAAGCCCACGAGGTGCTTGCATTTATATCCGATTCATAGCGGCTTGTTAATACGCGAGCCATGGTAATAGTAAGAAATGAGTCCACGTCGACGAGGACGACGAAGACGAAAGAAAGGACGTTAAAGATCCCATGCCGACATCATTTAAACTCTTCCAGCGGTAAGAGTGTTTTGGGGTTTTTTAAATCTAAATTTAACCAGGTGAACGTGCCAGCCGTGAACAACGCAGAATCGTTCGGGACTTCATAGGAGCGTATCTTCGCGCTTGAAGCAACGCGAGAATGCGGACTTCCTCGTCTTGTAATGACTTACTAGGTAGCATAGTATCACAACATGTTGTGCATCAGATTCGTGCATAGCATATGCTTGAAAATGCAGCGATAGAAAATACATAAACACAATCTCCCTCATAACGAACCTCGGCTATAACACGTACTCTTTTACTGGTCCGTGCGACGATGTTATTTGCGAGTTGAATATGACGATTTTGCAAAGCCAACCTTTCTTTCTTCGCCCCTCTCCCCTACTCTCCGGGAGAGCCTATGACTAACCCACGACTCTCCACAGGTTGTGCCTCGGCCTACCCTTTCTTGCGACTCACCCTTCCACCAATGGGTCAGTAAGGCGTGTAATCAGTTTCTCGTTTTAACAGATCTCATTCCCATTAGAAATCGAAACATTTCACCTGAACCAAAACTAAAAATTAAATACGCAGCGAATGGAACCACAAAAATAACAGAAGATCCAGGTGAAATCAAGCATTTTCGAATACATCAGCACGATTTGAGGCAACCGTGGGGATGGGACTGGAGCCCGCAAGAGAAGTCTAAATAAGCCTGGAGATTGATGTCTCCTTTATTTATTCCCAACAAGATCCGTGCAGAAAAGTAAATGGGAAAAGAGTATTTGGGACCTCTTCACATGGGTCCCAAGAAGCCATATTACCCCTATTGTTGGGGGAATATGGCCCTACAAAATGAAACATGGTCATCATGGTCCATCAAGGTTGAATTTGACTTTTACAATGTTTCTGAAATACTGCTTGATATCTCCTTTGCTAAATGCCAGCAAGGCGTATGCAAAAACACCATGGTTATGGCGCCTTTGGGTCTTTTTTGAGTAGGTCTCAAGAGGCCATATTGGAATATGGCCCAACAAAGTGAAACCTGGTCATCATGGTCCATCAAGGTTGAATTTGACTTTAATGATATTTCTAAAATATTGATTGATATCTCCTTTGCTAAATGCCAGCAAGGCGTATGCAAAAAAAATATGGTTATGGCGCCTTCGGGTCTTTTTTGAGTAGGTCTCAAGAGGCCATATTAACCCTATAGTTAGGGGAATATGACCACTTCTGAAAAACAACTCCAGATTGTCCAGGAATGTGTGAAATGTGCTGGAACATGCTGAGTGCCTTGAAACATGATAAAGGACTCTCAGCAGTTGAAAAATAAACATTAACTGCACCGAGGACAAACAAAGAAGTCGACATCATTACCTGACTCGAGGAACCGTTGTGGAAAATAGGATTGCAACGCTTTTGCTTTTGAGTAACAATGCACGTGTGCCGCTTTGTCCCGTCAATTCGTAAGGGGTTGAGGTTTAACGCTCCTATGAAGGAAGTTCATGCTTGGTCCACTTCGCAGTCTATCCTTCGCTCAAACTAATATAAGGGGATTATAAGGGGATTCCTTGTGAAGGGCCATATTACCCCAATGGCCATATTCCCCCAAGTTACCCTATACCGGATTGACAAAAAAAATGCACCGCTCATTGAAATGTTGTGGCACCTATGAAGCAGCAGCTGGAACCATGTAATTACTTTCATACACATCTCCTTTCATACACACCCATCCTTTAAGCATTAACAAATTTTGGCTTATTTTCTCCGGCCGTTTTAGCACAAGGTCAATTGGAATTTTCTTTTTGCACTCGCACCTGGACGCCGACGGGAGGACCTGTCCAAATCAGGATTTTGTCCTCTGTACTTCAGAAGTCGCTAAGCAGATCTCTGACGCGTCCTTACGTCTGCCAATTTGCATATAATGTTTTTTGCATTCCAGGATTATCATCTTGAGAATCAATGACTTCTTCCACAGGAACATAGTTTCCTTCCGCATAATTATAATTTTCCTCTCGGCTAATCCGGTTCCTCGCAGCTTCTGAATCAATCGCTTAACAATTGGCCTACATTTCTTTCATCCCTTGCCTTAAATTCTGGCAAATTTTTGCCCACCTCATCTTTCCCCTATGAGCGCATTTTCATGGGGAGAGGGAGGAGCTCTGGTTCGAGACTTGTGCGCTCCACGCAACCCAACTATTCTTCTGCTAATACGTTTCCTAGCGTAAAAAAAAAAAATAAATTCGAGTCGCCTTCGCATAAATGCTCCTGTGCTAAAACGACTGAGGAAAAGTGAACGAGAATTTCAAGCGGTTCCAAGGATACGTAGATGTCGTTGTGAAAACAAAAAAATTTGCCATGCTATCGTTTACCTCGTGAGTTCCAATCAATCTCAAAGAGCGGCACCTGTTTTGCCACACCCGGTATTTCTTTTGGTTAGATTATTTCCTCCCAATCTACCCCCACCCGAAATCAGAGGGAGAGGTGAAAAACTTCGGAATGAAATTCACTCTTGCTAAAACAAAAAAAGATTAATAATAATAGTAGGATTGTGTTTCATCCATTACCCAATGGCAATGAAGCTTCAAATTTTCGGGAATGAATCTGCGTTGAGAGGGTGAGAAGCATATCTAATTCTGTTTTGCAAATGCTCCCGGGAAGAATTACGGGGATAGTATGAAAAAATAAATGAAAAGATCTCCTATTGATAACCAGCCCATTTGCACCGAGTCGCAACATTTGGATCGGCTGCGAATGCGACCACGAAGATGAAGTTGTCCCGTTGAGAGTTCTCACACTCCCGCCGGGATTTCTCCTTGGGCAGAGAAACGGATTCGTCGGAGCATTTCGTCGATTCGAAGCACACGATGTTCGCTCGGTGAAAATTAGTGTTATTTTTTATTCATTTTACTTTATTAATTACGTACTTATATTTATTTATCTATCTATTTATTTCATGCAATATTATTATTTTATGTTTGAGGGGGGAGGGGGCGGAAGTTTCCCTCATCCAACGGTAAGAAAGCAGAGATTTTGAAACAGGTTTTGCTTGGCTTCACAGAGGTCCGTATCTTTTTGAAGTCGAAGAGATGGACTAATCCCTTTGTTCGGTTTGTAAACTAACTGGAAACTCTAGGATGATCCTCAGATCTGGTTCAGCCCGACACTCAGAACCGACGTACGTGCAAATTCGATTTCCTTGCGTGTGGCTGAAAGCGATGAGAAACCTGGATGGAAGATCTGGCTCACCAGAATTGAGTCGATGACCAGGAAACCTTGTTGAAGGCCGACCAGAGCTTTACACTAGTCTCAGCGTTCGAGCAATCCACTGTCACTGCGCCGGAGCGTGGTTCGGAGCAGGTGCAGGGCACCTGGCCCGAATTCCCCAGCCTCGTCCAGTTCGGACAGTCTTTGTGCCCGGCCACCCAGGGGAAGGGGGAAAGGAGGGAAATCCAGAGGAAGGCGAAGGATCCGGTCATCCTCTTGGACGAAGGCTGGATGGGGTTAGCGCGGATTATTTAGGACTCTCTAGGTTCCTCACGGGGTCTGCATGGGTGCCTGAAGGTAGGGTCCCATTCTGCAAAAGGGAGCAAAAATTCTGTTAGGAGAGACTTACATTCTCTGCAGTGATTTATTGAAAAAAAAATTGTTTTCATCGGTATCTGAATCCCGAAAAACCCATACAGTATCGTTTTGCATGCCTCAAACACGGCATTCAAAAAAGTTAGTGCTCTCTTTGGACCTTCCCTCAATCTTACCAATGCGTGTAAAAAATATGGATGAAACTCTTTCCATTCGCAAGTCGCTTTCAGATTTATGAAGGTATTTGGTTGTGGCGAAGGATAGACTGCGAAGTGGACCAAGCATGAACTTCCTTCATAGGAGCGTTAAACCTCAACCCCTTACGAATTGACGGGACAAAGCGGCCGTTATGAAACGAAGGTTCCAGTTATAGTTCATACGAAAGCAAATTATTCACTGCCACAAATAGTTACTATGCATTGGACATATTTATAGGGGAATGAAAAACGAAGGAGAAGAAGTTCAGTACTTACGTTTACACGAAGCTCTAGTCTCCATAGTTCGTATACCAACCAAAGCATCATAAACTGAACTGTCACTTCATCAGGAACGGACTCCTAAATTGCAAAATGGAGAAATGACAAGATTATTATGTGGTAATTATCCAAGCGATTCTTAAAAAGGCAGAGAATAATCCGTTTATTCCCAAAGAATAACTTAGGAGTAAACCCTGACTCTGCGTAGCCCTCTGATAGCACAATGATTTCGCGATACGCCATGTCAAATGGCATTTTGACGCATACTGCTCCGCATTATGAATAATTTATCTCCTGGGGGAAATAAAAAAGACTCAACACATGTTGGAGGACGAAAAGCCTGTCGATGGGGGAAACCATGCACTCATAGGGCAAGAAAAGGATTCGGACGTGACGTGACAGCCTTCTTTTCTCTGGACCGGTCATTTTCGTTAGAGCCCTGAGTGTTGCAATTCCTTCTGATTTTTTTGTACCGCCGGAGGGAAGGCTTACTTGCACTCGCATTGGGCTGGAGAAGCATCCGTGACCTTGAGGCTTCAATGGAGACTCTCCAGGCAGGGAGGGGAAGGGGAAATACGTGACGGAAATGCCGATGAGATCCGAATGGACACTCTTGCTCCTTTCCTCCGGCACTGCCTCCTATCCAACGTAGCCTTGGANATTTTATGTAGCATCGAGTGTGGAAATCCTCCACGACCTGGAATGTAAAATTGCAAGGCTTGGAGTGCACGGCTTGGCCGGGAAAATGACCCTGAATTGTTGACCTTTGACCTCTAATATCTCAAAGGTGAAAGGTCATGAAGAAAAATGGACCTGACTGGCGAACTCAGGCTGCTGAATGATTCCTACACACAAAAAATCGTATTATTTGAACGAAAAATGACCGTGGTGACCCAAGGTGGCCCAGCGACCCACCGGTGGCAGGGCCACCAAACTCCGTCGTCCTGATGCCCCACCCCTAGGAAGCCTAAGTTTAAAGTTTCAGGGTCAGGGATCAAACCGTCTAGGAGGAGAAGCGACTACGCACAGACACTTACGCTCATTAGTAAGGTAGATTTATCTCCTGGGGGAAATAAAAAAGACTCAACACATGTTGGAGGACGAAAAGCCTGTCGATGGGGGAAACCATGCACTCATAGGGCAAGAAAAGGATTCGGACGTGACGTGATAGCCTTCTTTTCTCTGGACCGGTCATTTTCGGTAGAGCCCTGAGTGTTGCAATTTCTTCTGATTTTTTTGTACCGCCGGAGGGAAGGCTTACTTGCACTCGCATTGGGCTGGAGAAGCATCCGTGACCTTGAGGCTTCAATGGAGACTCTCCAGGCAGGGAGGGGAAGGGGAAATACGTGACGGAAATGCCGATGAGATCCGAATGGACACTCTTGCTCCTTTCCTCCGGCACTGCCTCCTATCCAACGTAGCCTTGGATGGAATCCAAAGGAATACAAGCCTTCCCTTCTCTCGTTTCCCCCGACTTCCGCGACGAACGTATGGGTGTCGTGCCGAGGCTTTCCCTCCTGATCTATGGCGGAGATATAGCCGGTTTCTTCGCGAATCCGAGGGGAACGGCGTCATCGGCCCAAGGGATTTCCCACGAAAGGTTTCATCCATGCGACGATTCCTTTCGATGCCGGCCTTTCTAATCGTGTCGTCTGCACACACAGAGCGGAGAGGCATACAACACGTGTCATGTCATGTGTCATACGTGTGTCGAAATTTTTGTCCAGATTGAAATGCTTCTCGAGGTGTCTTTCTCGCAGGCGACTTCATTATTCGTAAGATGTTAGAGACCTGCCGACACGAAATCGTGAAATCCAGTTCTGTCTTGCAGAAAGACGTAAACTACGCCTGATATCATCCTATCCTTGACAATGAGGTATGACACCGAGCCGTGAATGGAGAGAAGCTTCCGTGCGGAAATGAGCCCTGTCCAATTTCTTTCCGGATTGGCTGGAAGGTCTTTTGGCAGGGAAAATTCACTCCGTAGCCGACCGCTGACTCATTAAATCACAAAGGCGGAAGGAGAGAATGATTCTTACTCTTGATGCCCGCGAAGTCTTCCTCACGACGAACGAAAGGAACCTCCTCTTGAAGGCCGATGGAGAATTCACACAATATCAGCTTCCATCTCGCGAGTGACTGCACGCGAAAGAGGGAGGATCGTAGAGGACGGCCTCCCCGACGAGGCTTTCTCTCACCTAGACCGTGCGTATTGGGACAGAAGGCCTCACTCCTTGCGTGGAGTCTGCCCGCGTCGTGCATATGTTCCGCCTCTCCTTCGTCGGAGGAGCTCCTAGCGGTTACTTCCGTTTTTGCATCGTTCCAACTATTTTGCTTAATTTCGAGGTAATACTGCTTACTTTATGTGTGGGTCCATCTTTCCTCTCCGAAGGGATTGTGCAAATACGAGAAGTACACTAGGTAAACTGGAAATACAGGAATAGTGTTGTATTGTTCTGGTGTATTCGTGATGTATTCGATCAAAGGATTCTTGAAATAAAAAGCCCACTTGGGCTAGGACAACAAAGTCGAGAGTCGAACGAGGTAGTACAAAATACATGAGGACCCAATCTAATGGAGTTCTTATCAGTCTAGGACGGGGGTGCATGCGGTTCCAACCTTGCCCGCGGCCCTCCATGACTGACGGAGTTCTAAGTGCTATAACGTCTCCTGCCCTGTTGGCCACAGCTATGCTCAGCCAGCCTCGTAAAGGGCGGGTGGTCTGGAGGCCATACGAGCCGAAATATGTTTGTAAAATCGTTAATGGCCCCTCGCAGTCACCCCTGGTCTAGGAGTTACCAATCGTATGATAGAATTCAGGAAGAGAAACTGGAGAGACAACGGTCTCTATATTGTTTTCTCGCTTTGGTTAATAATCTCTGGCGCGACAGATTGAAAGAAAGGAATGGATAGGAAAGGAAGTAGTTCTAATGAGCAAAATCATTATAAAAACTCATACGTGGGCTACAGAGAAAAAAGAAACCATGCGAAGGTGATGAGCGTTGACAGGAATTCTGAGATCGGAAGGAAGCGGAGCTACTGAAACAGAATTCGTACAGAATGCTTGAAGGAATTCTACATCGGGATACTTAGGAATAAAGGAAAATAGAGATCGAGGGGTCTGGGAGAAACAGACGAAGACACTGCACAAAAATATGAAATTCCAGATCCGTGAGAGAGAAGGAAGTGATGCGCTGCTTGGAAAAAACAAAGTCAGGACAGGGATTACGGACCGATTCACCGACATAGACTGATGCAGGCTGATTCTCCTTTATTCCCGTCATTGCAGGAAGGTGCAATCCAAGTAGACAAAATGTGCAGGTTGGTGTTTGTTATGCACGAAAATTACGATTGAACATAACGGGTGAAGAGACGAAGAGAGGAAGGTCTCCCCAGAGGCATGCAGCTGGCCCTGAGTCGACGTTCACCGGGTATCCATCCCTTTTCGTTTCGATATTCCCTGCACCTTTTCTTCATAGCTATGAAGTGTACTGATCTATAGGCACTGATGGGAGTTTAAAAAATGGAATTCATGTAGAAGCCTTTTTCGTGGAAATACCCATATAAAAGGGTTTCCATATTGATACATTTTCATCGATCAAGGATCGTGGATGTAATTCGTAATCATCATTCCAACCATCTTAGGAGAAATGTTCCTTAACTCGTAAATGAAATTCATTGAAAACGAGAGCCAACGCATCGATCTGGATGGATTGAAGAACCCTGAAATCGGTGTATTAAAGATGCAAATAGGATACGATGCTGGCACGGCAAAGCCTCATGGAGATCATTAACTTTGTTTACGTTTGTTGTTCCCAGCCTCATAAATCGACGCGTCAGAATCGACCCCAACTAGATGATCGGTCGACGGAGATGCGGAATGCAAAGGAGTGCCTCGCCCCTTCACAACTAAAAGCGTCATATTGAATGATCTCAGTCGTAGGGGAGAGGCACCACCGCGCTCACATTCGTGCGAGACTTCAAAGTCGACCGATCGCAGCCAGGTTAGTTCTCTTTCTGGTTTCCTGAGTAAGGCTCTGAAATGCAGGAGAATGGCCGGGGTTGCGAGTTGGTTGCGAGTTCTACCGTACAAGGCTTGCTCAGGTCTGCTTTCCTTTAAGCAGCCTGCGGTCATAAATATTATTGTATTTTGGCTTACGATCATGAAGTGCATGTGCCTATATCAAAGCACGACCATTCAATATTGGGCGGAGATATCGATATTCGAATCCGTTGCTGGATTTCATGCCCTAAATATTTCAATCTTGCGACTTGGGCCTTCTAGCAGACTTATAAAAAACAACATTGACTATTTTGGCATGAAAACTCTCCCTATGCTGGCCAAATCTGGGGATGAATGTGTTTCACTAGAAAAAATATCTCAGTGGAAGTGTCCCCCCACCCTAATTCTAATACCCTCAGATATGAGATCCCCCCCCCCCGCGCTGTTTTTCAGTATCACTTATTTCATCTATGACCACCTAAGACCCGAGAAAGATCAAAGTCAATGGATGTTTCTTGGGGCTCAGGTCTGAACAAGATAATGCACTGCAATTGTAACAGACTAATGAAGGGCAAGGTAGTGGAAATATAATGTATCCTACAGGGAGCATTATATTAATACTTAAGCATGTAATGTGCCAAATGATAATTACGTCAGGTACCATGTGACGCAACGCAAAGGGTATGGAGACAATTGGCACGTTGTTTTGCACTGCCCATGCCACGGGTGGGTATAGACTCTCTTGAGCCATTCTAAATCGTTCGCATTTCACGTGTTTAATACACGCAGGTGCTACGCTTCCCAAGTAAAAAATTGACTTTATTGTGAACAAGCAAACGACAAGATTACGCGAGCAAGAAGGAAAACATTCATTGCCAATTTTGAAAATTTTTTGAAGAATCTCAACGTTTCGTTCAACTTCGGCACCACCGACGATGATGCTACTGGTATTCCATCTTCCCAAATGCTTCTTTCCTTTCTCATCATTTTTCTCAAAAACATGTCAATAGTGATCCTCCTTTGTTTTCTTCCGTTTTCCCAGATGTTTGCTCTCGTTGGATTGCTTGTGCCAGCCGTTTTCTCCACTTCCCTCGATGGTGAGGACCTTCCTATGATGCCTCTCATGACAG